GAACTTCTTGAACTTGTTGTGGTGGAGACTAATGGGGAGAATGAACTGGACTTTTATGAGGAGAAGGCACATGAGTCTTCTTTTGAGGTGATGGTTGCGGAGTGAGGACTTTCTGTTGGATGATGGGTTGTTGAATGATTGGTTGTTGGATGGGAGAGTACAAATGTTGATGAGGATGAGAGTGTTGATGAGATATGCGATCCGAGTCATGGTCTTCACTTCCCCCTTTTGAGGAAGGAACTTCTGGTTGCTCCTCCAACCATTGTTTAAGACCGTCGATTTTCGAAAAGACGTCGTTAAACTGTGACTTGAGAACATCACTCAACTGCTGATTGTTGGGGAATGCGGTGTTGAAGAGAAGGTTGTGGGTCTCCTTGGTGAGTTTCAGAATCTCCTGGCCATGAAAGTTGGTGGATAAGGAACACCTTAAGTTGTTGATTGTTGATTGCAGGACCACAATTGTGGACTCGTAAGCATTGTGAGTTTCCTCAACAAGCTTCTTGGAATGAACAGCTTGACCCGCAATTGTTGATTGTAGTTCAGCTTTGATTGCGGATACTTCATTGATGAGACGTTCAGCAATGGCCATGAACTCTTGATGATCAGCTTTTCTGTTAGTATCCAGGGCTCGGATACCCATTTCCACCTTGAGAGAAATTCTCTCAGCCGCCAGTCTTTCCCGTGCTTCTAAATGTTCTACTCTCTCCGCTAGTGATTGCGGTCCGGGCAGATCGTCATACTACGGTTGGCTAGACTTCACTGCGGCCAATATCTGATCAACTTTGTCTTGGAGGCTGAGGAATTCTTTTCTTGTTACAGCTAGTTTCTTCTTCTTCTTTTTCTCCTTGGGCTTGGAAGTTGAATGTTGAGATCCACTGGATTCTTCTTCTTCGTCAAATACCATCATAAAATCATCTGATTTCTCTGGTTGGTTTACTTCATTTACATCGAAGTCATCAAAACCAAAAATTGGTCCGGAGCTGATTTCGATTGCGGTTTCGTCATCATTGGATTCAGGGACATTAGCAGTTGTAGGGGGCTTGGATGGACCTGCACCACCAAAACTGTTTTGAGCATTGCGGATGGTTTCAGCCATATCAGTCATCCAGTCTTGAACCTTCAGGATGGGAGCAACTATGTTGGCATTGTTTATCGCATCTGCCCAGTACTTGACAACAGTTTGAATTTCCTTTTCCTTCTGTTGTAGTTGCTTTGTTTGTTGATCCTTACGTTCCTGAAAAGGCCTGCGAAAAGCTTCATATTTTCGGATACCGGACTCGGTTGTGGGACGTTCCCGGGTCCAAGTATCGTCAGAATGGTAACCGTCAAATCCTTGATTTCGCACCGGGGTGTCCCCCGGGTTCGTGGATCCTTGCACATTGGTGCTCACCACGCCTAAACCACCTGATTGTAAGGAAAGAAATGTAGGATTTCCTGAGCTTCCTTGGTCTCCTTGACCCATAGTCAAGTTTGGCCTCGGCTCAGTTTTGGCTAGGGCTGAAGAATTGCCCTGCTGTTGGGAAGGTGTATTAAGTTTTTGGATGACAGAATCAAGGATGGAGCGTAACTCCTGTTCTTCAAAGAAATGGAGGTGGGAAGCCCTGGAGAGCTTAGGGCATTTAGAACCAACTAGATCCTCTTGGGATTCAATTAGGGTTGAGTATCCATCATCTGATGAAACAGACACACTTGTCGTGTCTGAGTAGCTGGAGAGGGATGAAGCGAGTCGGTCTGCGGGGACCGCAAGGACTACCAGAGTCTTTTGAGAGACTGAGGTATCTGTCCGGTCACGCATATGGCTGGGACTTGGGTTGGTCTTCCTTCTTTTAAAATGGAGAGTGGGAGCAGAATCATCATCATCTGAATCTTCTTCAATGTTGACCGCAACATCTTGAAAGTTGGAGGGAGGAACTGGAGCGTCATCCGAAGATTCAATTGTTCTTGCCTTGCGTTTCTTGGATGAACTTTCTCCTTTCTTGTGTTTAAAGTGTGGAGCTTTCTTAGAGAGCACTATCTGTTTGAGACATTTTGACTTTGGTTGTGTAGACTACGATTTTGAATGAGGAGTTGTTGTTGTGGTAGCGGGTGCGGATCGAGAAGGGCCTTGGGTTGCGGTAGTGGCTAATATAGGTTGACTGGGGTGAGGCGGGGAAGAATGGTATGGGTCAATACCATCTGTATCCTCAAGGTGATCAGTGACCTCTTTGGTTTCAAGTCCAATGGTTTGGAGAATGTGTGCAGGCAGTCTTCTTAAAGGTCCAAAAATAGATTGATCTTTTGAAAGTGTGTACCTTTTGAGATCGCAGGTGACAAAGAGATTAATTTCATCTCCCATGCTGAGCTTTGCATCCTTGTGAAGGTCTGAAATGCAGAGAGACCAGAAGCGTGTAAAAGTGAGTTCGTTTGGGTCTTCTTTTGGATTCTCCTAGGGGATGTATTGAAGAAAGTCATCCCATAGAATCTATCCGAAGTTAACAACATTCCCAGTAAAGATGCTCCATACCAGTTCTAACAGCTTCAAACCCATATTGTTTGTGCCTCCGGTTCTGACAGAGAGACTCTGGATGATAAAGTGACAGACAAATTGCCAAACCGCAGGCAATTGATTCTTCTTAAATTCTCCAATCCCCTTGATTCTTTTCTGGTAACCCATCTGGTACAGGGTTGATGTGATTTCGTTCATGCTTGGAGAATAGACTCTTGCAGTGGGAGGAACCCTAAGGTTGATGGCATTCAGGAACTTTTCATTGGTCAATATGACCAAAGAATCATTGATTAGGTTGAGATGAACCTCTTGCAAGTTGTCGATTGGGCGGAATGCAGAGAATGCACATTTGAAGAGGATTGATAGAGGAACAACATCAGTGAATGAATCGAAGCCTCCAAATAGAGTGTGGGTTGATAAGAACTTGATCATCAGACGGATTGAGTCGTTGTAGGACTGATGATCTTCGAACACAACCCTAAAGTTTCTTGAGGCAATTGTTGGGGACTGGTTCTTCATCGTGGAGTCAGAACCAGTTGGTTGTACTGATGCTGAAGCCTTGGATTGCTTCTTTGAGATCCCGGATTTCACCATTTTTGTTTCCAAAAAGGGTTAGGAACCTATGTGAGGCTTTATTCTCAATATATATATATATATATATAATATATATATATATATATATATATATATATATATAGAGAGAGAGAGAGAGAGAGAGAGAGAGAGAAAGAGAGGGGGGGGGAGATAGAGAGAGGTTCATTTGAGACCATGCTAATTTTGTGACATGTGGACGCGATACTAGTCACTCATCTTGGAGATCAAAAAAATTATAAATTGCAAAATAAAATGAAAAATCCAAAAATTCTTTTCTTAAGTATTATTTTCGTTATTTAATTTATCCAAAATAAATAAATAAATAAAAACAAAATAAATAAATAAAAAGTCACCGTTTTTTCGAAATATGAGTGAAATATTCTAATAGAATATTACACTGTAAATAATCAAATCGAATTTTTAAAATGTTAGAATATTCTAATATTCTACTAAAATTGGTAGATGTGTTAAAATATTTTAATATTGTACTTGAATTGTTAGATTTCTTAGAATATTGTAATATTCTATTTGAATTTTTTGAATATTTATAGTTTAATATTCTATCAGAATATTCTAATATTTTAAAAATTCGATTTGAATATTTACAGTATAATAATCTATTAGAAAATTTCACTTATATTTTGAAAAAAAAATGGTAATTTTTTATTTATTTTCTATATAGTTTTAATTTATTTTTATTTTTTTGGATAAAATAATTGACGAAAATAATATTAATTTTTTTTTCAAAAATATTCATTTATTTTATATTTTAAAAATATTTTTTTTATCTCAAAAATGAAAGGTTAGGATTGCGTCCCCATATCTCACAATATATATATATATATATATATATATATATATATATATATATATATATATATATATATATATATATATATATATATATATATATATCTATATATATATATATATATATATATATACTATCCTCTAATACTTTAAGATTTGATTAATAATCAATATATTAAATTGTATATAATAAAATAATTTTTTGAACCAAATGCACAGTAAAAAATCCTATACAAAATAATTCAACTTTTCAACTTTCTTGATTGTTACTTGTTAGCATAACGGGATAAATATACAATTAATATGTTTTTAATATAATTTAAAACTGAATAAAACTTGAGTAATATATCTGTTTATTTAGCTAAGGCATTATTAACTTCATTAAATGATATGGCAGGTACAATATTAATGAGCATATAGTTTATTGTTATTATTATTATTATTATTATTATTTTACTATAAATTATATAATCGTTTGTATAAAAAAAAATTGGGTATGTAAAAAGTAAATTAAAATCAATGATATCAATTAATTAAAAAAAATGATGGGGTATTGGGGATTTCTTGAAAAACATCATCACAATTAACTTTTATGTAATAAGCAAACTTCAGTTTGTAAGTTTATACTTCTAAAACATTGAATGAGAAACAATAAATTCCACTTGGCTTACTAGTTAATTATTATTATTGTTATTATTAGTAGTATTATAATAACAATACCAGAACAACAATAGCTTGTACATTTTTCAATAATAACTGAGCATTACCTATCCATTTGACCTGCCTTTTCAAGAGTTTGACAAGCCAAAAAGAAAATCCAAAATCTATAATAAAATTATTTAATCGTTTGTACATTATGCAAGATCACTTGTACATTACATAAACCTTTGAATGTTTCCTACTGTTCAAGATTTTGAAAGCAAAAAAGAAAATCCCAAACATCTGAAAAGATAAAATATGTACACTCACAGACCCAACACTGACATAGCAAATGCAAAGTGGAAGGTGGTGGAATGAATTTTACTTTTTTTAACAGAATTTACAAATCAAAGGAAAATGAAGTATCAGTGACAATCAATAGTCTTTAACTTTTTCTTTTTCAGTAAAAATTCCACCTTTGCAGTATAAAACCATTAACCCCTCAAAGCAAGCAACAAAAAGTTTCAAACCCCATTTCTGCCCTTCAAATTAAGAGCAATGTACAACTTCTAATGCACAATGTACAAGTCTTCAGTGCACGGCTCTGGATTTGGGAGTCTCGAAAGAATGAACACTCATGTCCGGCTACTTTTGGTGCCTTGATCCCATTCTGCAGTAGCAATGAGGAATTTTCATAATAAAGGTGAGTCCCACAAATCACAATCATCATGAAACATGTTTAACAAGTGTAAATCATTAAACATGTCGAACAAGTGTTAGATCATTAGCAATGAGTACCTGATCAGTAAACAGCTAAAAGAACCTTCTGGATTTTCATCCATTCGTACACGAACTCTGTTCAATCAAGAAACAAAAAAAGTATCAGATCACGAAATTAAGTTTTATTTATTTAGAATTTTTACACAAATTGAAGGAGAGACCTTTTCCGAAGCATAAAAGAACATGGAGGCTTCATCAAATTCCCATATTCTTCTTCATTCAGAATCTTCAAACCTGAAGCAAATGCACGAAATGAGAATAAGACACCTTTACAATAATTATAGGAAAAAAAAAACAGAGCATTAATCTTTCTGCAATGGCAAACCTGAAAATTCCGGCTTGAATCCCAAAATCAGAACTTGTGTTCTTCGATTTGTTAAAGGAATGCAAAATGTGTGATTTTCTGATGAGAAAATGAAGAATCTTAGATACCAATCCAATTTAAGTTACGATACTTCTAAGAAAAAAACAGAGGAGATCTTACATTTAGTAAAAGTTAAGATCACCGTATCTACGGGAATAAGGTAAAAGTTCTTCAACCTCAATCCGTGAAGAACCATTTGTGGTTTTCTTGATTCGGCTACGGTTTATAGATTCAACTTCTGCTAAAAAAATGCTATAAACAGGTCTATGATCTGAAAATCTTGATTCCCCTCTAACATATGACATTTGATGGAGTCCTCTTCCATACCATAAAATTCTATCACACCTTCACAAGAAAAAAAAATTCAATCCAATTTAGTTTTTAGTAAAGATCCCAAATGGGATTCTAGTCAATTCAAGTTTTGGGTAGGATTTACCATGCGGGAGTTCTTCGTTTTTCTTTAGGGTGCATATCATCCCCGGCATATCGATCTGAATTATTTGAATATTTATAAGTTGGAGGGAAATATATTTTCCCTTCATTCCATCCCTGAAACGCACGTCCCCTTCTTTGTTCTATCCGAAGCTATATAATCATAAAAAGAAAATCGATCATTTTTCAGTATTTTGGGCATGATTTTGAATTTTGAATATGACTAAGTTTCGAGACTTGCCTGGTCATTTTCCAACAAAGCCCTCCAGTTCCGCATCTCAACCAGCGCCTTTGCAGCTCGGTAAGAAAGGGCAATCCGGTAATTTAAATCGCCAAGCCATATAATTCGACTGTGGCATGCATACAAATTCAATATTTTAGCATATAGTTAAGCATATGAAAACTAAATTTAATGGAAATAACTTCAGCTTACTCATGATCGAGGATTGTTTGTGGAGAATTCTCGTCTCCTTTTCGTTGAACTCTTGGAAACCGAGTTTTCTTGAGAATTTCAATAACATCTGAGTTTCTTCTAAGCTCATCGCCTTCTTTTTGTCCGGAAGTTAAGTGAGTACATATGAAGCAAAAACTTGTTTCGTGCAATGACATGCTAATGGAAATCGAACCCTGAAATCAATTTATATAACAATCAATATTTCCATAAACAGAACACAAATTTGAAGGAAAGAGAAAGTTTACCTTGTTTCCGAGGTACCCCATTAATCCTCTACCAACACACGATACTTTCATGTTACGAACATCATCCCTAAGATCACTTTTTACCCATACAGTAAGATAAATCCCCACCATTTGCTTACTTGCAACCAAACAATACCTCGAGTTTCCTATCAATTTATCTTTCTCTTCCATTGAGAAAGATCCACTATATGGAACTTGTGAGTAATGTGTGTCATTAGGCGAATCATCGGGCCCATTATCTTCATCAGAAGATCCACCACCCCATCTAAAATACGGTTCATAATCACCAGGTCGGTTCCCAAACATGGCCCGATCACAAACACTATATCTCCGCTCGAACTGCGGGGGCGGAATCGACATTTCACTCTCCGTCATCCTCATGCTACGGCTTAATGATTGGAAAGAACGGCGTTGGAAGAAAGACGAGGCTTTTTGCCTTGATCCTTCGAAGTCGGAATCCAATTCCACCACCGGGTCCGGAATCGGAGACGGGGTATGGAATCCACCGCTTGTTCCTGGAAGACTGTTGAGTGTTTTTCGAATCAGTGCTAGCCATTTTTTAGCTGGACCGTTGTCTTCTGTGCCTAATACGTTTCCGGCGTTTAGAGGAACGACTTCTTGAAACCTGATTCCCGAACAAGATCGGAATGGAATTAGGCATTACGGTAACCATGATTAGCGGAAAGAAAAGTTTGATTGTGTCGAAATAGCACTCACCCAAGAACATAAATGTCAGCAGGAGGTGATGTGTGTAACCAATCTTCAAGATTTAAACCACTCGGTGGTGATTTTCCAGCGACGTTCCATGTTGCTACAAAGATCCTATTAACAATTTTCAAAAGAAATAAGAACATATAAACATGAAACTAAGATCGAAGATGACAATCCACGAGAACAAACCTATAATTATCGACGTCTCTCACTTGAGTAGTGTCAAGATCGATCTTGCTTCGACTACGACGATTGGTGTTCTTTTTACTTGATTTCTCTGTCGAATCAAGAAATAATTGGGACTTTTAGCAAATTTTTCATTCTAATTTGTGTAATAATCATGTGAAATTAAATGGATTTATAAAATATTCATAAATTGCACCTGTTCTTTTGTTTTTCTTGATCGTACATGCTTCTCTTTCGTTGAAATTGTTCCTCCATTCTTCATCTCCACCTGCAAATTTACCCCATCAAGAAAGTTGTTTTAAGATGTAGTAATTGCTACTGTAACTGTAAATTGCATCAAATTCAACATATATTAATCACAATACAACAAAAAGGAGACCTATAGCAGCTATGGTGGCTCCTAGTATTTTAATGACTATAAAATCATAAATTATTGAAGTATTTTTTTGCCACTTCAAATAAGTGTTTAAAAACATTACTATATAAAATCATTAATTGATTTTTTTTTAACTTGCTTATCATTGTACTAAGTTCATAAATAAATATTATTCACCCCTAACAAGATTATTACCTATAAAATCATAAATAAAAACTAATAATCAAAATTTGTAAATGTCGAGTCAGATGAGAACTATTTGAAGACCATAAAAGGAAGAAGAAAACAAAGAACCGATCTTGAACTGTAATGAGAAAAAGTAGATAAAAGAGATTGAGATTCCAAATGAATTATATACAGAAACATACAGTCATTGATACAGAAATAAAGCAAAAAACAGCAAGTCAATTAGTGTTCCCCAATATAAATATATATATAAAAAAAAAAAAAAATAACCCAAAGAATTATATATAATCATGAATAAAATCACAAAATCACCTCCAGAAATAAAATCATCGGCATGGAAATCTTCTGCTTTGCTCTTAACGCTGAACCATCTCTTGAGTGTTTTAGGCCAAGAAACCTTCAATTCATCGCCATTAATGTCAACATCTCAATACATATATACATACAAAAAAATAAAAGACCAATCATTGTCAAAAGAATCAAAACCTTAGTCTTCTTGCAGTTTTCATCTACCATTGTTCCAAAACTTCATACATATATAAATACCCAACAAACTATTTACAGAAAAATAACTTTAGATTCAGAGCAATGGAGTCCAAAAATTGAATCTGTTTACTAGAAACAAATTGGGGGTTTAATGTATTACAAATGAAACAAAACAAGAGGGGATGAAAGATTGTGAAAACCCACAAGAGAAAAAAGAAAGTAGAGAGAAGGGTTGAATCTCAAGATATAAAGAGGAGAAGAAAGTGGCAGTTTCTTGGCATTTTGGTTTCAATATTTGCAAACAAAGAGTCAAATCAAAGAGAAACCCCTGTTGAGTTTGTTTTCTGTAGGACTCTATGTTTTCTCTCACTTACACCTATTTGTTGTGTACGCAAGAAACAGAGAGAAGTAATAAAGAAAACAAATGGGAAAATTCAGGAAAATGTGGAATTTGAAGAGAGAGAGGGGGGGGGGGGGTCTTCTCTGATAAAAACCTGGTTCTGGGTACATCAAAGTATCGAAATTAAAGAGAATAAAGAACAGGGGAGGTGGTTCCCCACTCTCTCTCCTAATTCCTCAACAATCGAGGCCCTTTACCCCAAATCATAGGACGACATTGTTTCGTGAGAATTGAGAAAGAAGACTATTAATGAGAAGGAGATTATGGAGATCTCACCATTTAATTGAGTAATTGAGTAAAAATAGCATCGATATGATTAATTGTTAATAATTATTTTGTTAACAATTACATGTTTTTCTCTAAATTTATTTGACAAAAGTTATAACCGTAGGCAGATTTTGTCGAATAGATATCTAAACACTAAATCTTGAATATGTCATTCTTTGAACTTTTGACCATTTTTGGTCAAACCCCTTAGTGAACTGAATCTTGGGTTTTACATTTTGCTTCAAGATTAGTTTTTCTTGTTTGGTGTGTTTGGATCTTGCTTCGAATGTGTTTATGGGGAATATTTGTGCATAAAAAAAGATTGTTCATGTAGATTTCATTGGGGATTGAGCATTACATGCCTTTTTAGATTCAATTAGCATGAAAAATAATAGTATAGTTTTTTTTTGGGGGGGTTTGGAAGATTTTGTAGGGTTTTTAGCTTTGTAGGTTAGAAGAATAATAGTTTACAATCTCCTTAAAGCCTCCCTTTTGTATGCAAACAATCCAACAATATGTTCTTTTAACAATTTCTAGACCAAGAAATTTGTTTTAAGAGAAGTAAAACTAGCATATGGTCCCAACCCCACTTCACTATCACTTCATTTTAATTATTGAAATAATACAATCTTCTATAAGAGTCATAATAACTCCATTAGCTAACAAATAAAGTAGTAAATATGTCTACAATGATAAAAATAATTTGTTATCACATTTTACGTTCTTAGCTTTAAACCATATGTATCCACGACATTCAACCTTTGAGGCATTAAATATGTGATTCTCATTGGTTTAACGCTCTAGTCCGTAACTCTGTATGATTGATTATGACATTCAACTTTCATATCTCTAAATCAAATGAACACATGATCCATGCATTTATGCAACCTCTTAATAGTTAGAACTTAGAACCATGATTTGCATAACTAGATACGAAGTTACAACATTCAACCTTTCTACCATTAAATCGGATCGACCAATGAGCATGTAGTCTTATAGGGTTTCGACTTTCGAGCCTTGGTCTATATAACTAGTTTTAATATCGTTTTTCTACCTTAGCTTAGGTGAGAACAAAGTGAAATCTTGGACTAATCTAAGTTCTAACACATGGTTTTGGGGAAATTCTAATATTCTAAAATCACATGGTCCATGTGGGAGACTGTGTTTGGTCCTTAAACCAAGGGACTAGGATGAAAAAATAATATTAGATTTGAACCCAAGGCTAGTGTCTTAAATAATACTTAAATACAAGGGGCTGAACTATATTAAATTAACACAAATAGCCCTCCAAAACTTTTGCAAGTAGATTGGAACAAACACACCTCTATGTAGCCCACTACCACCCTACCCCCTCCCCCTATTGAACCTTCGTCCAGCATAACAAACCAGTTGGTCTCTACTTACGTTAAACTAAAGTTAAATATTAAAATATTCTTTCTTTTATAAGATATATTGTTCAATCTCAAAAGGATATTTAGTTGTGGTTGAGATGTAATTATATAAACAGTTTTCTAATGTTATTTGTTTTGTGAATTTGATTTGATTTTTCTGTTTTCCGTACTAAATTAATTTTGAAAAACATAGAAAGTTATCGCAAGAAAAATGATATATGATTTGAAGTGTAATATATTTATTTTGAAAACATAGGTCCAAACACCATCATAACACACAATTTAGTCCTAAAAACATCCTCCGTAATAAATAAAAATAATTTTGTCACTTATCATCCTCTTATGCATTATGTTACATGTCATTTTGTGGTAAAATTAAATTAAAATATATTCATGTGTCATTTTGTTTTTTTTTTGTATATTTTATTAAATTTCATATAATTGATCAAATAATTAAGATTTATCAAATAAGGTAATAATTATCTAATTAGATGACAAATATCTTTTATTTTGACAAATATAATCATAAGAAATCAATAAAATTCGGATTTTATTAATTAGAAACAATTATGGTAATTATCCCAAGTCAAAATAAGCAAGAATCCCGAATTTCTCTCTGTCTGACAGCCCGGCTCGCCAAGTCCCTTACAGAACTCGCCGAGTTCATCAGACTCGTCGAGTACACTTTGGGACTCGACGAGTTTGTCAGGCAGATGGCAAGAAAATCGATTTTAAGCAATGAACAAACATATTATGCATCAAATACAATAGAAACCAAGCAAGGCTCTGATACCACTGATGGGTTTTGAGCAAAAGAACATTCCTATGTGCACATGCAAAACCCTAAAGCTTTGGATCTAAGTTTCTCTATTGTACATGCAAATTTATTCAAAGCTTGTAAACCCTAATCTAGCATACTATAAAATTTGAGATCTACAACTAATACAAGTTTAGATGATTACCTTTTGATAGTAGCAAGAATCTTCAATCTTCAAGAGCTTAGTATCACAAGTGTAATACCTCTAATGGCTTACAAACACCAAGGCAAGAAGATGATTGAGAAGAGAGGGAGTAGAGGCTTGATTTCGGCTATAGGAACTCTAGGGTTTCTTCTGGTAGCCGAAATATGCAGCCCTAGGGGTCCTTAAATAGCTGAGTTGCTAGGGTTTTAGTGAAAACCCTAATTGAATAACTTAGGGCTTAAGCAGTCCAAGGAACCTTCTGGAATAAGGCTTGGACGATTTCAAGGTGGGCTTCCACCCTAATTTCGTCCCCCCTTATATCCATAAGGATCCACAGCCCAAAACTCAATTATCTTATAATTGCAATTCTAGTCCCCTTAGTTCAATTAATCTTTTTTTATCACAAAATTAATTTCTTAATTAATTCTTAATCAATATTATTTAAACAACATGATTTATTTTTTTATTATATTATTCATATAATATATTAATAAACCATAATATCCTTTCTCTCCGTAAATCATCTTGTCCAGTTGCTTTGGTGAAGGCAACCCAAAAGGACCATGCTACAACCGGGTCAAGTACATACCAAATACAGTTATGGACATAGACACTAATCCAACAAACACAACAAATAGTGGTGGTCAAGGGGTCGCACCCATTTGCAAGGTCAAAAGGCAGCTCTTATTTGGTAACCCAATCACATTATACTGAGAATACTCTATATGAAATATACGGGGAAGACGTATGTGAATCTTGTAAGAAGAGCTAAACGAGTAAACAATGGTATTGAGATAACCCGACCACATTATATTGAAAAACATCTTAGTTAATTCAGTTATGGGGAATGTTCACATGTTAGTACCCCCCATGGACTCCTGGTAAAATTGATGCCTAGTATGGGCAAGGTTGAATTAGAATTAGCATATTCTTCGACTATCAGTTTCTTGATGTATGTCATGACAAGCACCCGAGCCAGTATTGCTTATGATGTGGGAAAGTTAAACATGTATACGAGTAATCAATGTACTAAACATTGTTAAACAATTCAACGAGTATTTAAATATTTCAAAGTAACCATCCGGAATGTGGAATAGGAAACCTCCCAGTCACATTTGAAAATCTAGGGTTGCGAAGTTTTTATGCGTTGCGAGGCAAGCGATAAACTAGAACCCAAATCGGAAAAGTGTTACTTTGTGGGCTATCCTCAAAAGTCTTTTCGATATCTTTTCTACATGCTTGTGAGAACAAAGTTTTTGTTTCTCGAATAGGCTTCTTCCTTGAGAGGGAGATCATGTCCATAGAAGTTAGTGGGAGCTCAATTGATCTTGAAGAAATTCAAGAGTCAAACGAAGAATGGCCTGCAGTTGAAACTAGCACTCAACCTGAGGTTGATCAAATTGTTGAGAAAATCAACAAAATTCCAACTACTCCCCTTCGCAAAACCAATAGAGTTCGTCTCCCTCATGAGTTTTACGGTTTCCATATAGAAACTGAAGGATACATACCGATCAGTGATCGTACACTGGTGGGTATGGATGAACCATCCAATTATCGGGAAGCAATGGCATGATATGAAGTTGTTAAATGGAAGGAGAGTATGGAAAGTGAAATTCAATCCATGTATGATAACCTCATTTAGAATTTGGTTGATCCTATACCTGAAATTAAAGTCGTTGGGTGCAAGTGTATCTTCAAGAAGAAGACCGACACGGATGGGAATGTGCACACATATAAATTGTAAAGACCCGAATTTCCCTCCATAAAAAATGCTAGTTTGCGTTACTCGATTTGTTCCTCTGTGTGATGCTAAAATGAAATAAATTGAATAAAAATGATGTCTAATAATGTCAAAATGAATTAATTAATAATTAAGAGGGTATATAGTTTAATTAATATGATTTGTGGATTTTAGGGTGAATTACAAGTCGTAAAAAGACATTAATAGAATTGTGGGACTGAAAAGTTATTAAAAAAACCTAATATGTTGTGTTATCTAGGATTAGAGTATATCAGGTACAATGAAAAATAAGGGAGGGACCTAATTGTAAATCAAATTGAAACCCCCATATTCCAATTGACGTGTTTAAGGGAATTAAGGGCTTCGTTCATTTTTAATTCCTCTGCCAGTTTTTTTTTTTTTTTTTTTTGTGTATACGACATATTGAGTGCCATCTGATGGCAACCCAAAAGGATTTTGCTAATAATTTAAGTTTATAATAATTTAGTTAATGGCTTAGACACCTAATCCAACACCATCATGGAGTCAAACCAAATGAACCTTGGCCTCTTGATTGTTTCTCGTCTGTCGGCAGTAGCACGAGAAAGAAATGGCGATGAGGGAGAGATGGGGTGTATGTGAATTGGCGACGCAATGCAGGAGGGAAAGTGATTAACGAGAATTATGGTGTGTTTGAAGCTGTGAAATCGGTCTTGTAAGT